CGGCGCACAACTGTCAATTGACGACTCAGGTGTTATAATATTAAATATATATTTATTTAATAATATATAAAAATTATATAAAAAAATAATATAAAAAAATCATTCTTATATTATCCTCTTTAATTAATACATACATGAAAGTCGACGTTATCTTTAATTTCTATCATTTCACGTGGAGGGTTAAGTGCGGCGCACAACTGTCAACTGACGACTCAGGTGTTTTCATACGGTACAGAACTAGCATTCGGCCGCGCGATGCATGATATCCCGACGATGAAGTCATTTTCATTACGTGGGTCCCGGTGATCTGTCCCAATATTTTTGGAGATGAAAGATATGCCGTTTGCAAAGCGGACATCAATTGCGGCGCTTGTTCGACTACTGGTCAGCAACGCACCAACTATTAGTCTATTCGCAACACAACAGAGCCTAAAAGCGACTTTAAATGTTTTAAAAGAATGTAGAAGCAACTGTTAGTCCCACTACCAAGTACAAATTTTTTTCATTACTTTTATGGATTTAGGTTCATCTTCATTATTGGAATATAAAGCCCTCCAACTTTTGTGTTTCTTTTTAAATTTTAGGTTATATAATAAAATTTAAATTTTTTATTTTTTAATTCATTTAATCTGTATATTATGTGATTTAAATTTAAAATTTTTTATTTTATTAAAAAAATTAATATTCAATTATTTAAATTTTAACAGTTTTTATTTGTTAGAAAAAAAAAAAAGGCAGTGTACAAATTACAATGATTAAATGTAAGTACATAATTCAAGAAAAATTCAGAAACTAACTTGTCATTTGTAGCAATATAATTTGAAATTGAGGAGCGTTAGCCTCTACATATTATCCAATTGACTTGAGACTACGTTATTATTATAAAAAAAAAAAAAAACCACCTTGCCAGTAGCTGTTGCAATGCATTTGAAAATGAAAATTGGCCTTTAAAGTTTAAAGTTTAAGGAATGCAAAAGTGCAAATGGGCCAGACCAATGCAATTCCCTTAGATAGTTGGATCTCCTTCAAGCTGCTGGGCTTTGTCCAATCCATCATGTGAAACCATTGGGCTTTGTTCAGCCCACTAAGTGACACAATACCGAATTTCCAACTTTACCCAATGCTTAGCGAAGTTCCAAGGCTTGAATCGTGTGACCATGCGAGCAGGGGCTGAGATTACAACCACCAATAATTTCGATAATTTTGATAATTTTGTTAAGACAATTAATTTTAATTGTAATTTTATTAATTTATAATTGTTTAAATAATTAATTATGATATTTAAAAATATTTATTTATAAATTAATTTTAATTTATTATTTTCCATCACACGCATGTAATGTAAACGATAAAATAGAAAGTTCGACTTAACCAAACAAAAAATAAAGTAGTACTATAAATTTAGAAAGTTCTAAAACTGACCTGCACGCGGTCCGACAATTTTGGTGTTGGCTGAATGTGTTACAAAAAGAGTGGGATACAGCCCACGAACCAAATTTGCATGA